ATTCCGTACTGCACGTACGGGACATTGATCATAGCATTTACTTGCCTAGGGGGCGTGGCACAGTGGCGAGTGATGTCTGAAACGGTCCTGGCCTCCCTACCACACACCACCTTCACCATCCCATACTGACACACGAGGGGAAGCATGGTCAAACAACCCATATGAGCGACACAGCGTTGGGTGGGACCTCGGTCAGCAGTGGGTTGACAAATGGTTGCAAATAATGTATGACTGAGATGCAAACTGCGGAATGTTTCAAGTAAAATGCACATTTATTGATAATTAAATATTTAAAAATAGCTTTTTTTGTCCGTCCAAGGACTGGTGTATATTGCAGTAAGTTTTAAATATTGAATAGAAAAATTGTTCAGCTCATGATTATTAATGACGGGGGTTGCCCCATGTGGAGTGACGTCACCCGCTAATGGTTATTGGGGAGGGGTGCGGCATGTGGAGTGACGTCACCCCCTCATGGTTATTAGGGAGGGGTGCGGCGTGTGGAGTGACGTCACCCGCTCATGCTTATTAATGAGGGGAGGGGTTCGGCATGTGGAGTGCGCGGCCTTCTTGTGCGTGAGAGTAAATTTCCACAGCCGCTCATGAATATTAATGAAGGGGGGGGCGGGGGCCTCTTTTGCAGTGACGTCACGTACTGATGTAGCACTGTGCTGCGTATATATATTTTTTACCGTCACTTTCTGTCAAGGAAAGTCATATTTGAAGCGACTTTGCGTATTGTTTAATTCAGCTCGTCCTTCCTCTGCGTTAGTGTAAAAATTCACCCACTCATGAATATTAATGAGGGGGGGGCTCATGTGGATTGACGTCACGCGGGGGGGGTGGGTCTCATGTTGAGTGACGTCACGCGGGGGGGTGGGTCTCATGTGGAGTGACGTCGCGCGCGGGACACACATTCTTGGCTCATTATAGTAGTAATAATGCACAATATGTATTGCATAGTAACTGACAGATCTGACATGAATACATATTATAAAGTGTTCATTCTGCTAGTGTTGGGCTCTTATAATGGCTTTTCGCAAAACAGTGCAACAGAGTAATTTCACAATTGATTTATGGCCAACCTAACACGTTCTCTTATATACAGAATATTTATACTGGAGGAATCCGATGAGCTATGAAGCTCTCTTTCACAGACGTTCCAGTACACCACATACCCCACCTCCAACTAGACAGCCCCTGTGATGCACAGTAATTCCATACCAAATCGCACTGAACGTCGGATAAACAATGCGTTACAGCCTTTGAAAAACCACTGCTGGATGAAGGCCTCAACCCCACCGTGTCTGTCAATGTGGCTAGTTGACCATACTTCGATACCCGTGTCAGTTGTCCTCCCTCTCCCCACCTGCGATTAGCACGGTTGGCTACGTACGGTGCAAAAGAAGTTCAACACACATACAAGTGGCGGGTTGGTTGAAGGCGGTGGGGAGTATGCAGAGGCTAAGCATGTTTCAGCCTGGTCGGTACTTGGATGGGTGGGATGCCTTGGGATACCGGGTGCCGTAGGCTTGCTTGGGTTTGCGAGGTCGTCGTGGAATCTCAGTATAGCCGTAGATTATTGACTATATATCTGCGCGGAGCTTCAAGTGTTATCAGTTGGACGTTGGTGGAAGTTTCTCCAGTCGTAGCGGTTTCCTCCCACGTGGCAATCATTAACGGGGATTGGCAAAGCGAGCGCACGCAGGAACCCTCCTACAAAAAGAACAAAAACGCCGCACCAATCGGGGGTGATTTCCACAGTAAACAAGTAGATCCACGAAGCGGGATATCAAACGTTACCATTCCTACAATTGTATCGTTTGAGTTTTGAATATAAGCCGTAATTGTTCAAAGGATGCAGCCGCTGATGTCGAAGGGGGTTCTATAGTGTCTCCAAACTGCCAATTTATTTTTTTTTGCTGCTGACTCAGAGTCCTTACCACCACAATGGGCATGCATGTTTTTTTTTTACTGAAGAAAAGGAGGGCTATTTAAACGCAAATGTAATTTTACCCACTGCCCCTCACCCAAAGTAACAACCCCACCTCCTCTCTCCACCATTATTTTCGGATAAGAAAAGCTAACGGGTGTATATATATACACACGCCACAATGGCTCTGTGGGGTCACTCCTATTGTGGTGCATGCAGATAAGTGAGCGAGTGCCAGTGAAACGCACGGCACTAGGGAATTCCTTTCACTTGGGAAAAAGAGAAAAAAAGCGAAGGGCCAGCCGGAAATTGCTCCCGCAGTCTCGGTTCGGAATTGAGCTCCTAAACATTCGTAAACGTATACACAGCCGGCAAGCCAGGGCTAGCCTGCATACACGCAATGTGTGGGTCGTGGCAGCTGCTGCCGTCCACGGAGCCAGTCCAACGCCAGCACCAGCAACCCCCACTGATCACACGCCGCGGTGGCTAGGAGATGTTAACTACCTCGCCTGGTATACAGGAGGTCGTAGGTTCGATCCCGATCCCGACCCTGACGCCTGCTGTAAATTTTGAGTTTGCATGTTCTCTCCCCGTGGTGGCGTGGATTTTTCTCCGGGTTTTCCCTCCACGTTTAGAATCAACATGCGTTTAGAGCATTTGGCTGCTATAAATTGCCACGTGATAAGTCACATCGTTGAGCTATAATTTGTGGCCAGGACGCTTCTGAAAAAGTGGGCCTTACCTGGTAAAATACAAGTTTTGTTTAAAAAAAAAGTTAAGTCGCATCTGGAAGTAAGAGTCGCAAAGATTTACGGTTCGCTTGCAATGGCTGCCCTGGTTAATACACACCGGCTGCGTCAGTCACAGTTTGGACGTTTAAATGTCCCTTGCCGTTATTCGGAAAAGTATCCCATTGTGTGCAGCCCCATCTCTCCTTGGTCCACGCAGTCTCGGGTGTGTTCCCTGCTTTGGCTGGCTGGCAAGGACAAGTCTGTTGTGGATATATACATGAGACTGAAATGGTTTAACGAAAATAGAGTGCCTTATTTTATTCATAAATCGTTATACCATCTGGCGTAGGTAGCAACAGATATATATTTTTTTACAGTGTACACACAGACTTAGCAATGCCATTCTGCACGTAAACCTCAAGATTGCCTGTTGATGAAATTGGAATTTGGCACTGTGCCATTTCTTAAAATATATATTTCCATCTTACGTTTCTTGGAAAGCCAATCCGTCCAGTTAATGGCGTCTTCAATGTCGTGGTTCTTCGAAGGTGGAAACAATGTTTCAGGCTGACGGCACCGCGTTGGAGGGTCGTTTAATAATACACGAATCTAACCGTGGGCACAGATTTACATCGCGTCACTTCTGGCCTGCGGGTTGCATGCAGAGCGTTGGCGAAATCTCCATTGGCGCACTGAGAATACGATGAGCCGGCCATCTGCGTTCGAGTCTCGGCCACGGATAACATTCAGTGACGTGCGAAATCTGTACCGATCCAGGGATGCCACCCACTTCACGAAACCACACTCGCAAGCGTGAAGTATGGTCGAAACAATCCCCCCCACCCCCCCCAAGACGTTATGGGTATAGAGATCACCAGGGACTCGTTCGCATGGAATATTTTCCGCCCCCACTCACCCCGTGCCTCCCCCCCACCAACATCGGGGGTGTGGGAACGCGGCGATGAGATCCCGCAGCCCAGCCTCCGGGGATGGTGTGCAATGGTGGCGAGATGTTTACTACCTCGCCTGGTATAGCGGGAGTCGTGGGTTCGATCCCGACCCAAAACACTTGCTGTATATTTGGAGTCTGCATGTCTCTCTCTCTCTCCGTGGACATGCGGATATTTCTCCGGGTCCTCCGGGTTTTTCCTCCCACTTTTCTGAGCACTCATTTTTGTGGCCAGGTTGTTTTTTTGCGTTTGGGGAGGGCCCGACTGCGCACGAGTTCAATGGTAGTTTGTGAACAATACTCAAGCGTTGTGGATTGTGACCTACACGGTTGTTGCAGGTTGTGTAATGTAAACGCTTTACAACTTGGGTTACGTTTGAAAGCATTTATGGATTAGCTCAGTCCGCGTCTGCCCATAAAAAGCGCGGAGCAATTGAACAATAGCCCAAATTGATTAGAGGTTTTTGTCAAATTTTTTAGGTCGGCTTGTCGGCCGGCACTAAAGGGACCTAAACCTCGGCGTGCCGGTCGAGGTGGGTCCTGCCGGACACAGCCGCTATCAGAGCCCCGTTGTCTCTTCACGGTCTAAGCATTGCTTTCTGACGCAAGCCATCACTCCTTTAAGATATTTCGCAATCACCCAAACGCATGTTACACGTTATGCACGCTTGTTTTGTTGTTATAGACCGCCGTTTTTTTTTTAATCTGCCCATAAAGTTATAACTTAGGCCATCGTTGTGTGTGGGCTTGGCGTACCAATGTTATCCAGCAACGTTTAACAAAACCAGTTGCCTATGAACGGTGCGAAAGTAGTTCTACATACACAAGGATAGCCAGGCTTGTGAAATAAATCCTGCTGGGTCGCAATGTCATTGCATGGTCACTTGATACGACTAGAGCCTTGGTGAACGCTAAAAGCGATGCTAATAAAAACATAACGGTATGGAGCAATACAGGTCAATGTTTAATTAATGACCGATAGCGTACCTGCGATGACACAGATTAGAAACGTGGACAAATATAACGGAGTCAAACCTGAGATGCGTGAGTAAGGAAGTATAAGGAGGCGCACGCTTGTAAATGCATGCATTATGGAATGTATGCAGAGGTTAGTGGTGCTTGGGCAGGAAACGTCTCGAGTAGGGTTGGTTGGTTGATGGGCCGGTAGCTTCATTCAAGGACAAGGAGAAAGACCAGCTCGAGGTAGGACGCCAACCATGGAGACGGAGCGATGAAATCAGCTCGTTTGCAAGAGCTAGATGGAGGACCTTGAGATGGAGACGGCTTGGGGAGGACCTTCATTCAGCAGTGGGTTGAACATGTCCAATGATGAACACTGAACAACCCGTTAATATACCAATGCCTTGTGACAGCACATTAAATGCATGGAGGACACGTTTTCTTGTTTATTCGGTGGCTTCAAATATTGATAAAATTACATATATCGAGATGCTGGTTTGTTTTTAAAAGATTAAAATGGTACGTTTTAATAAATCTACTGCACAGTATAGTTCATGAAACATGCATTTTTTCTATGTAAAACAGGTCAATCCCACTCCTGTGGACCTCTGCATAGATTGCGCCAATGTAAATGTTATACTGTACATTGTCAATTACATTCGCCTCATTTGTTGGTAATTTGACTCACCCGTACAATTAACGGTTCGGAGTAAGAACTGCGCACACATCGGTTTGAAGACCTTGCCGTTTGATGGTGACCTTAGACAATCCACTGCAGACTTCCCATCGAGTGATAACCGCAAGACGGTACCGATTTTCCCAGTAAGAATGATTCATTTCGATTTGAATCGATGATGCCCAAAATTTGAACTCGGGCCAGAATGGTAACAGCGGCGTTGTTTTTTTTTGCCAAGTGACCTACATTCCGGTGTTTTGTTCTGTGATCGTTCACATGAAATATTACATTATCATTACTTTATTTACATTTAAAAATGGGACGGCGAACAGATACATTATCGGCAGGAGGCCGAGTGCAGAGGGAACGCTTCCACGTTATAAAATAGAGGTCTCGAATTGATTAAGGTTTCTTGCGAGACATTTAAAATTCAGCGTTTGAAATACAAGTCCGTTTATCCCATTGCTGCAGCATTGTTCACTGCCATAGCCTTGCATAAAGGCGGCGCAAGATAAGAGTAACTGAAAAAGGTTCATTTCCCCAACCTTCTTTAAAGTCGCGCAGTCGGGGGGGGGCGGGCGGGTCCGGGGGAGGGGGCATATAAAGTACACGGGACACTCACGCTAGCGAACAGAGACGCGCGTTACCAGTATGTTATGCAAAGTTTTTCAATTTTAATTGATCAAAAGTCCTTCAGGCGGAGAGAGGCTCAATGCACTCAAAATCGTGAACCCAAGTGCTCACCTTTACAGGGCTCATGTTTCAGATCCAGCTGACACTGTCTCTAACACGCTGTATAATGTACACACAGGCGTTCTGCTCGCTTACAATGCTCGCAAAATCGGGCGTATATTGCACAGGCTGGTCACAGAAACAGCTGGTGAGATCATTTATTATGAACCGTATGCGCTTGTGTGAGTTTTAAGTATCAAAAAAGATACACAAATGGCAATGTCAACCGTACACCACCGATAAGCATGTCAAGAACAAGCAAAAAACGGCACTATCGTCGTCTAAACTCGTACATTTCACAAACTCGTTTTTTTTTTACTACCGCTAGCCACGATTTCACGTTTTTTCTCAACTAGATTGTAATCTTCATAACCATAAATACATCGTCACCGTGTAACCCTTTAAATAACAACACATTAAGCGATACAGTTTATATGCGTGGTGAGATGGAGCATTGCTTTACCATTAGCACGCATGCCTAGTATTGGCAAAAATGTAAACACGCGCCTATAAGACAATCCTCAAAAACATCGAAAATGAAAAAAAAGGGCGCGAGTTATGAATACGATTTTTGTTTTACTCTTTTTTTTATACAAAAATACATAGAGAAAATAAATCTTTGTACAAAGTTTTCGATCGAAATGACGTATAAGAAAAAACTCTGTACTGCAAATAGAATCAAGCCCTTTTACGTGGACGTGGTCATTTGTTGTTCCAAATGTGTTTCCGACACAGGCAGGTGCTGTTATATTGTTTATATATGTACATTTAAATCCATATAAGAAAAAAACCTCTAACCAAAATACCCCACCCCTCTCAACCGTACACTTAAAACAAGCAACAGTAACAACAAAAATCAACAGTCAGTGAGCGAATGGACGCACGCACGGACGGGGTAATTCTCAATTGTAACCACAAATGCACGTGTTGGGGAGTTTCTGTCGGTTTAGAGATAGGGCCACCTAGTGGCGGCACGTCTTGGATGGCAGCGCAGAGAGAAGACATCTGTACCAAAAGAACGCGCCTACTAAAACCCAAACACCCTCCTCCCTAAATCCATCCCCCCCCTCCGCAACCCCGACCATCGGTCTAAAGATAAAACCCGTCTCTCAACCCCACAATGGATATAATTATCTACAAGCATATATGCCGTGCATTCTCTCCCCCCCCCCAACTCCTCATCCTCAAATATGTCTCGAGTCGCCATCCTAATCCCTCCTCGCCGCGGCGTTTTGCACGCTCCCATCATCATCATCCTCACAACCTTGTTCGCCTTATCCGCAAAATAATGAAACTAAATCATCATCGAGCACGGTCTGTTTTTTTTAACACAAGGCAATTTAAACACCTATAAAAACCCTCCCCCCCCCCCAACACGTCGTTAAGTTAATGTCAATGCAGTCCAGCTACAATGTAAATACAGTATAAATACACTTTTCACGGACTCGGTAGACAGACTCATGGTTAACCAACCGTTATTTTGGACTTATCGGCTATTGCGGTGTCAATATTGGTAGCATGCGGACTTGCTGAAGAAACTCCTGGTGTGTCCAAAAAGGCAGGTAGAGGATTCCAACCGTGGACTTTAAACCTCCGGAGTGTGGCAGAGGATACCGCGGCTTTGGATGGATTCCCTTGGTGGGTCATCTTCCAGACTCCTTTAACGAGTGACGACGGTTCTCTCTCTCACTCACTAACTCACTCGCGCTCTCTGCATCTCCCATCGGAAGAAAAAAAAACACAAAATATTGGTCACAAGGTCACATTGGGGGCCGGAGAAAGTCAGCGCGACCAATGCACATTGCTGGTAAAGCTGGGTTTTGAAATCAGTCACCTCAATTCGTATATAAAAAAAAAACGAAACAAAAAAATTAAGTCTCAAATACTTTGAAGTGAGCGAGTCTCGTCTTGGCTCGCACACTCACTCTTCCGAGACGATCCACACGATCATCTCCCACCCTCTTCCCCCAAACTCATCCTTGGTGAGCGCATGTCACAAGCAGACGCCGGCAAGTCCAGGGTGGCCCTCTCGCTTGCTCGGTTTAGGAGGTCAGGGTGTGTGTGTGTGGGGGGTGGGGGTCCGGTCAGTACGTGAAGACCATGTTGGTGATGCTCGATTCGAACCAGTCACCCGAGATGAGCTCGCTCACCTCCGGGGTGCAATAGTCTGGAAAGTCGAAGTGAGACGCAGAACTGCCGTCGCTCAGCGAGTCGATGTCGCGGTCGAGCGTGGAGAGGCCGATACTGCCCAGCGTCTGCAGCTCACCTCGCTCGGACGCGCTCAGCGCAAAGTCCAGGATCGAGTCGTCCATCCCTCCCGCTGCTCCTCCGGCCCCTCCGGACGAAAGCATCGTGGCCATCGGCGTCGAGACGGAGGGCACCACGGACGGCGAGACGGAGCCGGGCTCGATCTTGATGGTCGTCACTCGCACGCCCGAGATGTCCTCGTAGAAGCTCGCGGACTCCCGGCCCTCCGCAGATCCGCTGCTCAACGTCGGGCTGGGCGGCACTGCGGCGGGGGACGTGGGCTGACTGGACGAGTGCTGGTGATGGTTGCCGAGCTGATGATGGTGGTGGTGGTGGTGCCGGGCTTGTGGAGGCGCCAGCAGGTCTCGCACCGTCTTGGTGGACACGGTCTTCAGACCGCGCCCGCCGGAGGGTGGCCGCAGGTGTGGCGGCAGCTTCTGCGCCTTGGATTTGCCACCGGAGACACCGCCGCTGCGCTTTGCCGAGTCGCCCTTCTTGCTCGACTTGGGCGGCTTCTCCTGCGGGGACGCGGGCCCCGAGCCGGCAGCAGCGCAGACTCCCGCCGCTCCCCCTCCTCCTCCTCCGCCGGGAGTCTTGGCTTTTTTGCGCGGCCGGTACTTATAGTCCGGGTAGTCGGCCATGTGCTTGAGGCGCAGGCGTTCCGCCTCCCGCATGAAGGGGACCTTCTCGCAGTCCTTGAGCTGCTTCCAACGGCGGCCCAGCCTCTTGGAGATCTCCGCGTTGTGCACGTCCGGCGACTCCATCATGATCTTGCGCCGCTCTATCTGCGACCACACCATGAAGGCGTTCATGGGCCGCTTGATGTGCCCGTTCGCCGTCTTGCACCAGTCGGGCTGGCCGCCGTTGCCGCTGCCCGAGGAGGAGGCACCGGCACCGGCACCACCACCACCACCACCCAGCGCCGAGCCAACAGCGCCGGCAGTGTCGGCGACGCGAGCCGAGAGCGCGGCCGGGGACGGCATGCAGGAGCCCGGCTCCAGGTCGCTCCCCTCCGAGTCGCTCATCTCGGCGGCGGACAGGCAGTCGTCAGCGCTGCTTGGGAGCCCAGAGGCGTGCAGCACCATGCTCGCTCAGCCGTCGGTGGCCCCCCACCCCACCCCCCACCTCGACAACCTCGCGCAGCGGTGCGGTCGCGTCTACGTGCACGGCGGCTAGTAACCTAACCCCCCCCCCCTTCTTTCTGCTTCACGTGTCCTTAGACATATAGTTCCGATGTGGATGTATTTATCGCACGCTACGAATGTAGCTACATTTTCTTTTCACCGCGAATGAGGCATCCAGGAACGGATTTAGTTTGTCGTTGGGGTATATATATAAAACAAATAATACTGAGACTCACTTTATCTTCGGTGCGGGTGGGGGTCTGTTTAAAGCCAAGCACCGCGGTCTCTAAACAACGCCAAACACGTGGGCGCCTCTCAACTCACTGCCTCGATTGCGCTGCGCTCCGTTTTTATAGGAGGCTCAGCTCGGTGACGTCACCGCAAAACAAGTCCCTCCCCCGAGCATGTAAGCCACGCCCTCCAAGGACCCTTCAACCACGCCCCCTCCCCCCGATCGGCGAGGTCACGCCCCACTCCTATCCCATTGGTTAGAACGCCTCCCCCCGCCACTCTCCAGTGTTCGCCAATCAGCAGCTGCGAAGGGGGCAAGTGTGGGAGAGGCGGGAGGGGGTTGTTGGAGGGGCGGGGGGGGGGTACAGAAGCCGCGAGGTCAAAAGTCAGCGAATCAAAGCCACTGCGTGGTCTTAAGTCAGCTGTGGCCCCCACTTTTAACACGTAACGAGTCGGCTTTCGCAACCAATATTATGCATATTCAAGTTTGTTTTTGATGGGTTAGATCGCGTAAATATGAATGTGTCGTTAAACACGCCACCATCTTACCTAAGTAAGATTTTTTTAAGTTTATTTTTATTTGTGCATATGTATTTCAAATTATTTGTTTAGCTTGGCTGTACTTGGCACTCCCATCTTTTTTTTGTATTTTCTATTGTTGATGTAACGTCCTGACCTGCCCCGACTGGACACCTGTAAAAAAGAGCTTGATAGCTCATCGGATTCCCCCAATATAAATATATGTTATGATTCTGATTAATATTTTCTGTCACGTGAACAACACGTGCCATATTAGTTCCTGCTTCAGCACACTCGGTGTGTGTTGGAGAGTAAACTCACAACATTTACAATTCGAGGACCGTGATGTTTCGCTGGTGATTACGCGGGTGGTGAGCTGTGGGGAGCGGTGGTGTCGCGGTTAGCGCTACGCTGCGCTACGAACCCGGCAACCCGAGTTCGATTCCCGCTGACGGCCAATACCAGCGATGAATATCTTAACCATTCCTGGGCCTCCCCGAGGTCGACTCAGCCTCAAATGAGTACCTGGTGTGGTGAGTAAACATTGCCACTGGAGAGACAAAGGCGGTCGGGCGGGGTGTTGGCCACGCACACCCTCATGTACCGTGCCAGTCTTCATAGGTGCCTCACTAACTGGTACTTGCCCCAACAGTCTGTTAAGGCTCCACGGGGGATCTTTGTCTTTGGTGAGCTGTGCCCCTGCAGTTTCCTGGCTGCCCACCGTCCAGTGCTGGCGGCTGCCGTGCGTTTGCGAGGTTCAATGTGTTTTTGTCTTTTACGCAGATAGACCAGGACTCCAATAATATCCGTACTCCAGTAATCCCGCACATCCATGAAATTCGCGGATTACTCGCGGTTCACAACTCCTCCCGTAATCCTGAAACCTGCAGAAAAACAGCGGATTTCGGGATCTTTTCCGGGAGTGACTACTCCCTCCCGTAATCCGCGACACATCGCGTCGGCTATGTCCGGAGATTATTATCTTATTACTTTATAATCAATTTGTTAGCTTTTTATCGCTCGTTTTTCACAGGTTTTTTTGGGAATAGGCCACCGATGTGATTTGTTGTGTAGTTAAGTATTGCTGCATTGTAATTTTATACAGTTGTATTGTAATCCTTTTATACTTGTTTTAAATGGGAGTCTTGGATGTCGTGAATAAGCGTTTCACTATTTACAGAGCGACCCATTTATAGATACCCCACTTGTTTCTAATGACCTTTCTTAAGGTGAATGAATATTGTAAACGGCAATTTGGCGCAGGAAACTACATTAAGTGAACGTAACGGTCTGAGCAACATTTTAAGTGAACATTTCAATTGGCATGTATTTTAGTCAGTGCAAGTAAACGGGAAACACCACAGGTGTTTCGCTCAACTGCCACAGGTACACAAGTTGGAACTTAGGAAGCCACTGGAGCTATGTATTTTAAAATCTCGATTGAAAACTCATTTTTTTAGAACTGCTTTTTGTGTTTAGTTTGTTATCTTTCCCCCGCACTTCCGATTATCATGGTTGGCTACGTACAGTGAAAAAGAAGTTCAACACACATGAGAAATGTCATCCAGATGACTTTCCACTTGTATTCAACTCTTGAACAGATATCAAGAGATTGTTAATAATTTTGAAGATACGTATATGCGCTTTAGCTTGTATATATGTATGTCAAACTTATTTTGTTTGATAACATTAATAAAACTGAAGTTTTGTATAAGCTGGCACCTGGTCTACCACATGTCTGCTCTACAAACCGCTCGATTCTAGTGGAGCATTTCAATTACCTTGGAAGCATAGTTAAATTTGCTAACAGTTTAAATGTGCAGATAAATTATCACCGTACTGTCTGCAGCAAGCGCATTTAGTAAACTACAAAAATGAGTGGTCACAAAATGGGATAGGAATACTCATGAAATGCAAAGTATATTGGGCATTTGTGCTCACATCGTTGTTATATTCCATTCAAACATGCACACGTTACAAGTGCCATATCAGGACATTTCAAAGCCTCAACATGGTAAATCCTCAAAATGTCATGGAATAGCGAGTACCAAATGTGAGCGTATTCAGCCGTGCGAACCTGCCAAGTGTCGAAGCCGTTCTTGCCACCACACAGCTCAGATGGGCTGCGCATGTTTCCCCAACGAATGGTACACAACTGCCAGGAATCGGTCCTCTATGGAGAGCCGTCCCATTGAAAACACCATCGCAGAGGACAGTGCCTACAGCTTAAGATTGTGAAATCTGAAAGCTACCGTTCGGTATTCCCGTGGACATATGGGAGGACCTAGCTCCCGATAGCCTTCACATTGGAGGAGCGCAATCTGCCAAGGGGTGTGGAGCAAATCGAGGATTTCAGGGTGGAGGCTTTCTGTATTAAGAGGGAGTGACGTCACGTGCCTCCAAACACCGATCGCCTTCCCACCGTGATCTGTGATACCTGTGGAAGAGAAATGGGCTGGTCTCACACCAGCATCCCAAGCATGCGACACATCTTGACTTTTGTCACCATCAATACGACGGACGGCCTTTATTTGTGTTCACAATGTATAGGCACAAAATATGTCGATTTGGCTCGAGTTTTGACATTTCAATGTACTGTACTCTACCGTCAAAGTTTGTTTCGTCTTATTCTTAATACTATTTGACATCCCTTCGTGTATTTAAATAAGGTAAACGCCATGATTGCACACCTCTTAAACCTCTGCAGGCAGAGAGAGGGCCTCATCTACAAAGATAAAATGTAACTAACTTGTGATGGTTAAAGGTGCCACATTTTATGCCGAATATACACAAACTCCCACCGTTTGTATGGTAGGAGTAAACGTCATTTCACAACACATTATGATGACATGAAAATTATGATTCGTAAGCATGTAAAAATTTATATAAACAAGATGCTGTAGCGTACTTATATTGAGGTCCCAACTTCACTCAAAAGGTCATAAAGATTGTATCTCTGTCTGGTGTCTACATCCCCAGGAAACAGTAATACATTCAGGTTTTTGTATTACATTTAAAGTCTCATGATGTAGATATTTGTAATGGCCTTTTACATTGACAGTACTTGATCCTACACTGTCCTGCTGCATATGTTACTTGTGTTGGCTCAGGGCAGTTTTATCCAGATGGCTTCCATCAACTTTGCACCGGGGTGTTTATCCCCGGAAATAATTAAATAAGGGACAATTGTGGGTAATTCTATATGGCCCGCCAAAGCGCAGTGGCCAACTCTTCGGAACAATGTCATGGGGTCAATGCAAAGACAGATCCCTTGTTTACTGTGACTTTTGCCACAAAACTGTCAGAGAAGCTGGGATTGTTGCATTATCCCAATGCTTTAATAAACCCCCTGTCTCTAAAAGAAAGCAAGCTGAGGTTCAAAAGATAAACGGACCTGAGGCCAATGGGCTAATATCCATCTAGTGGGAAAATACTCACTTTATCCAATTAAATGCAATGCGGTGTGCTTACAGCTCAGTAGGCAGAAATAAAGTTAAATTTTGATTTAAAGCTTTCGTGACTGCAGTAATTCATATTCTTAGTTATTTCGGTAAATAAAGTTACCAGTGATTTTTGTTATCTTGTTTTGGGAGTTGAGCCTGCATGTTGTCATCTTTATGGGTGGCAGGTCAAATGTTCTAACATTCATAGAGTTCTAAATTCAGAAATTCTTCATCATGTATGGACGATTATAAGACTGTGCACATTTAACTAAAGATGGGGGTTTAGAGAGGCATTAGTCCTTTGTAAGTCAGAAAGCAGCTGCGAATTAATGCCGTATTATCAATATCTGGCGTTGAAAATAATCACGCATCATGTGCGACTGACACGACGCAGGGCTACACGCCGTAAATGTTCGCCTGTATTGTATGGGCGATTTGCGATCGCTCAACTGCCCAAGGGGATGGCTGTAAATGTGGGCACAGAGGCGCGCATTCAGAGCAGCGAACTCATGCTCGCCCCTAGCATTAAAAAAGCTCAATAAAATAATTCAAGCGAGCACTATAAGTGGAGTAAGGCGCTTATTTTCACAAATTGTGGATAATTGCTATGCCTGCAGGTGCTGTGGCTTTTGTAAAAAAAAAAAAACTATTCAGGAAAGAAAAGAATAAAACACACACATACACAAAAACATGACTTTCTAAGGAATGTTGTCAAGCCTTCTGGTAGCCTATAGGCACCAGCCAGCTGACGTGAGTGCATGCACTGTATATACTGAACGACTTGACATCTGTAAAAGATAGCTGTATAGCTCATCGAATTCCTCCAATATAAATAAATATTCTGCTTCTGATATGCTGCAAATATATCCAAATGAAGGCAAACAAACTGCTGGACACTCGCAGCAAATAGCTTTTTGCAAATGCAATATACTGAAACACAGCGTCGGAGACCCAACTATCCATCCCGGTGCACGCAAAGTTTTGGAAACAAAAACACAATACATCTATTTTCCACGGATCTCTTCGCGTTCACGTCCTATTTATATGGTCTTGAGATGTGATCGCATTTCGAGGTCTTCTAAATCCAGATTTGCTAGTGCAACAGAAGTAGGTACATACGCAAAAGCAAATTGTTCCACTTTCTGTACG